AAGAGATATCTAGCCGTGTAAGGTTATAACTTGCCATTCGGTCCAACGCATCTCGAACTTTAAAATACACGGACAAAGGCTTCCTCAGTTTTCGTCTTCCTCGATCCCGCAAACGATAATAACACGGATATTCACAATCCTCTTCAATACACACACACTGTGATCAAGGTGGAAATATCGTAAAATACCAAGARTGGTGACTATCACAGTGATAATGTGTAAGTATCGGAGAATATCGCACCACTCCTCAGACGAGTGTTCAGTATAACAATAAGATAGAGCAGCCGACTCTAATAAGCACAACGTGCAGGCGATCACACTTCCAATTACAAAGGACGCTTAAAGTACAAAGCAAATCTCAAGTGCTGTAATGTCAATCAGTCAAACAACCTCATCCCGCGAATAAAAACACACAGGCACTTCCCAGCTCTGCTATGCAGACCAAATCCTGTCTTATGCATTCCGTTGCTTCCGTTGACTCCAATATTATCATATTACYTAATAATACATTGCTATGCAAAATTCTTTCAAACCTTACTACATCGCTAAGTCTCCTCTTTAAACCTGTGGTGAAAGTTGACTTTGAATTATGATCATGTTAATTTATCATAATGTATTAGGTATAGTGATATAACATTATATCGACCGTATAGACAAACTAAATGTTGAAAACACACTGTTGACTAAACGTATTGGAATATATTATACATATTCAACCGGTTTTTTTCTGATTTCATGCTGATATTATTGTTTAGAAGAAAATCCCTATATTTTTTTTTATTCAAGAATTTTTATTTTTTTTTATTTGACATAAAAAATCTATACATGCAGTCTTGCACAATAAGTTTAAATGCTGATAGTAATTAAAAGACATGAAAGTTTTGAATTAAGCAGCCACCCATTAGTAACTCTTGACTACTGATCAATTAGTGTTTTTTTATATATATTTTTTTTTCACCACGAGACGTTAGAAATTAAAGTTTTGTAAAAGATCACGGCACCATTTTCTTTTTAATTTGCCGTTAGGATTTCCCGGGAGAGTAAGGATTGAAAGATCTATTATGAGAGGGTTAGGATGAGTTTGTAGTCGYTTATAAAATCTTGTGTRGAAAATTCATGCCTTCTCATTTACTGATTCAAGAATAAAGAATATAATATAAGCGATTTTATGTGAAAAAAAATTGTCTATAATATTCGTTTAACATCTGTTCACTCWTCCTGCAATAATCGTATTGCATCATCGTCACGCGAATGAATCACGTCTAATAATATATATGTTTCGTAGGTTAATTGTTAGATATTATTATTATGCATCATTATTGAATCGTAGCGATACACGACAGCAGACTGGCCGCTGGTTTTGGGTGGTTAGGTAACATAATATTATTATTTTATTATTATTATTACAATTGCAGTTACGGCCGTCGTTTGATTAGCATATTTAGACACGTGCGCCAATGTCTTACAATACCACCATCGATAACAAACACCTCCTGAAAATAAATTATGAAATGCGACAAAAATAAATGAAATCATGGCGAACCACCTCCACATTCGTAAAAAAATAAAATAAAGCACAGGACCACCTACGAAGAGCAAGTTACGACCTACCTAAATACTACTTTTCGATTAGTTCTTCTCGTAATAATAATAATATATTAATAAAAATAATATAATAAAAATAATAATGATAATAATAATAACGTCAAATTATACTAATTAAAACTACGGCGACCCCATCTCCATTAGTGCGCCCGATGATAAAGCTTTTTTGGGGTGGGGGACATTATTGTTATTCACAAATAAATGATTGTTACTTTTCGCTTATTATATTATAATTTGAAAATTCAGTGTCGTCAGCTGATTTTTCTTCGGTGATCATTAAATATTATAACGATTTAGCTACCAGCTAGGCGCTAGTTGATAGAGTGAGTCTCGGAGATGCTTTGACGCACCCACGTTTCATATAAATTATGTTTCGAATGAACACTCCCAACTTTTCCAAACAATATTCATTTTACAAGTTACTAAAAACAAATTTTGGTTAGTATTTGTATTTTTTTTTTATATATATATTCGCTTTAAAAAATTGTTACTGAATACGAAAATTTTTTTTTCTCTAAATATTGAAAACATGACCTTGAATAAAACTTTTTAATTTTTATTACGACTGCAAGCAACGCATGTTTTCATTTTTCCATAGTATAGCATATTGCTAATTTGTTTTATTGATTCCATTTTGTGAAAAAAAAAATTAAAATGAGCATAGTATGTCTCATGTGTAGAATAACTCCATGGGGTTGTGCTAAAAATTATTCTAACTCTCTCTAGCTTCAAACCTGTTCATAGGTGATCGTGAGTTAAAATATTACATCATTCATATGTTTTTTTTTTATCATTAACGATTTAGGTACATCTGGTCTGACGATCCGTGGAATTCTGTGCGTCTGGTCCAATAACATCAGAATAATATATCGAATAAGGTAGGTACAGGAGTGGTCTATCGGCGAAAGAGGGGATGAGAAAGAAAGCCGATTCTTCCATGGTTTTTATTTCATAACTTTTAAATCATAATTTTCATTTTTAACGATCATATACAGTGCGTGTTAAAAATCAACCACATCCTCCACCCCCATGAAAATCGCAATTAACCAACTATGAACATGTACGATATTGTTTGGTACCACACATAATATAGGTTCTGATACGCAGCTCGGTGATCGAATTTTCAGTGTTTAAACATTCGAACCGTCAGCGACACGATAAGACTAAAGCGTAAATAATCGCAAGTGCTAAAAGTACTGAAAATCTTGCTCTCACGTACGCGCGCCATCGCGATTATTCGAAGTGTAATTTATGTACGAGTTTTGTAGATATAAATGTTTAATATATACAAAATAACACCTCAACAAACACTCATTTCGAAAAACTCGCAAAAGGTTTTTTTCCGTTACTTTTATCGCCGAAAATTTCGATTTTTATGCGTCGACGGAGATAATTTATACGCGCGTCGATAATGATTTGTTTTTATGAAAAAAAATAAAAAAAAATACGATCAACGGGCAACAGTAATAAAACGTTTTATTATGAAATCTAAAATTCCTTCCATAATATAATTCACTGAACACGGTATCGTGACTTTAGTATTCTAAGCTGCAGTGTACTGAAGCTATAAGTCTTACGATTTCGTTTTTGTTTTTAAACATTTAATACGACTAGTCTATTTGGGTAAGTTTTTTGCGAGCAGTCAATACAATAATATTTCATATTTCGTACTACAGTGCTTCTACAGCGTGCTACATTTGTTCACGTTGGATATTTCTGTATGATAATCATATTTTGATTAAAACCATTATTCTAAAAACGGTTAGTCTTTAACTATTTATTACTTTCCGTATAGTAATATAATATCGGGAATTCATTTTTTATAACTTTCTAAACATCATCAAATCCATTTTATTTGCTAGATCAATTATTGTCAAAGTTCTTTTTTGGTTTTTTTTTTTTTGCTTTATTAGAAATCATTTTTAGAAAACATTAATTAAACTTGTTGTTTTGATCGCAGTGATCCAGGGATTATAATATGTACTCATTAAATTTAACAAAATATCACAACACACATCGTCATAAAATTTATGCCTGCAGTGGTGCGATCTCTTCAAAGCATACGTGACTACAACTGTCTACGTATTGTACAACCTTAAATATACAAGGTGTAACAGATATGACAGACTTTTGGAATAACTTTTGTTCAAATTATTTTTTTATTTTTTTTATTATTCATCAAATAACCCTAGTGCTACATGTATAATACATTTATTKCATGTTTATTTTTTAGTACTGAAAATAAAAAAAAATTTAATTTAATAAAAATGTTTTGGATAAATTCAAAATAGCCTATTGGTGAATTTGATTATAAAAGCACAATTTTTATGGTAAAACGATTTATCTATGTCAAGTAATTTATTTTTTAGATTTTTTTGAAATTCAATATTTCTTTTTGGTTAAATTAATTTGGAATGTAATAACTTAAGAAAAAAAATAGATTTTTGAGAATTTGCTGACATGAGCATATTTCTTAAATTATTTACTTATCATATAATATAAAAAAATGTTTTCATACTTTGAATAAGCATAATTTTTTTTTTTTGGACAAGTCTTTCTGTTACACTATGATCATGAATGGCAATAAATTTATATGATAGTTACACGATTCCAAAATCATAAAAATATAGATAAAGGATGATTTTTTAAGAAAGCTTGCACTTATTTTTCTATTTAATAGAATAATATTATTCAAATTTTAATTTTTTTAATTTTTTGCTGTACTTAAAGACAATGTTTTCAAATTCCTGCTATTTTTGYATTACCTATGGAGTGTTTTATGGTGGTATAAACTTCTGTTTTTAAAATGAGAACCTTTCTTTTTTTACTGCAAATTATTTAGCGAATAAYTTTGGTAAATACTTTGATGATTCTAGATAAAAATTCTATTGAGTAGTTTCCTAGTTATTAAAATGTTTATACTAAGAATAAGAATCCTTAAAAATGGTACAACAAAAATATAAACTATATGTAATACTCGATGAAGTATTTATTCGATATGGATCGTTTTAAAAATTTTTTATTGATAGATCAATATAGTAATATTACTAACAATCTAAAATCACCTAGTCCCCAACTCCATTACCATAGACATATTATTATCCTTAGTCAACAAAGTTATATACTCAAAAAATGTTCATTCCAATTTTATTTAAAATGTATCAACATTAAAAAAAATATATATATATATATATCTGTTGAAAGTTGAAAAGAAGCCCCATGGTTTCAATGGCTATCATATTTAAAAAACAGAAGTTTGTACTATCACAGGTTGTCCTTAGTGGTACAAAAAACCTCAAGTATTCGAAAATATGTCCTTCGAGTATATTTAAAAATTCCAAAAACCAAAATTTGAATAATACATGCATAATTTAAGTATACAAATAAGGCGAGCRTACTATTAAATTATCATATTTTTGACACAAAACATAACAACAATATGGTTTCCTTTAATAGTACGTTTTGTATTTAATATTATGACTCTTTAAAAAAATGTATATAATATATCTTATAAAAATTACGATCATCGTTATAAAAGGATGGTAGAAATCTTATCTCTAGGTCAAAATCAAGTCTCTCATTATTATAATATATTATATGTGTATCACTGCAGCARCATTGCGATTACATCATTGGTATGATTTGTAGGGTGGCTACGCGGTCGGGTCGGACAGTCTACCCATGAAAATGATGTCTTTATCTTTCTTGATGATAAACAAGAACGGATGACACGCGTGGAACTTGACGTTCTTGATGTTGCTCTGAGTGTATTCCAAATTGTAATTGGCGATGCTGACACCTGCAGAGCGAAATCGTTGTAAGTATAAGTAGTTTCCGTGAAAAAAAAAAAATATAGAAAAATCTAAAGACTTCAAACAACGACCGATGGAAGGTTCGACTTACCGGTGACAGCTGCGGCTTCCGTTCCGTCTTCGTTGACGTCCACGTAAGTCTTGTGTTTCATGCTACTGACCCTCAGATTGCCAGCAGCGGACGAGCTGAGTTCTGAGAAATCGGCGCTAGGTGAGAACATTTCGGTGCAACCCAACTGTCGAAAGCAAAATTAAATGTAATGGATTGATGAGATATTATGGCGGTGGCTGGTAGGYAATTACTACGTTTAGGACAGAGTTTGGTTTGGCCTACGGTTTATAATTGGGAATTATAGGTAAAACGTATATAAATATTGTTATACCATTWATATTTCGTTTGGTTTTGATAACAGATCGTTTACGGACGTGATTCTGAGTTTAAATATAMCGCATCTCTAWTATTATTATAAATGTTGACTTGGTGTAAATATTAAATTACTTATGTAATATTGCTTACGCTCACGTTTATGTTCACGTAAATGATGAAGTTAACTGACAGTCATTACACCAAAATTATACAKAACCAACATATGATACCATTATATGTATATAAATAAATAATATCAAATAAATGTRTGCTATTTATCGAATAGTAAAAATTTTAATATTGGTTTTCAAAAATAGTTTTTTGTAAACGACGGAAAAAAYAAACATCATTGGTATATGCACTAAAAAATAATCTAACATTCATTGTAAACGTATTATTCAGATTAATCATGAAAAAAATACTAGATACATATACTTTTAGAAATTTTCAACCAAGAGGTTARGTTGAAAACTAATTATTATGAATAACCTATACATGATAATAATATTTTTAGGTATTGCGGAATAAATTTAGTATTTTATTCGACGGATCATCGCGTTATACACATTGTGGAAGTTTTGATATTTTAACAATATTTTATGTTTACATCAAATTCAAAACCGACAAAAATATATTTTAGGTAATATACTCGCTATGATAATATATTTTACAATGTCTGGAAAAGAACGTCGTTCATGAACGCTCAATATGTACTAAATAAGAACAATATGCGAACGCACTCGTTTTTTTTTAATTTTACGTGGGTGAAGATTATATTTTAATGAATTTTAAGAATTTTAATGATTTKTAAGACGCTCAATTCATTTATCATTAATTAAATATATGTTTAAAATGCATTGATTAATTATGTTATTTAATAATATTTTCTTAGGTGATTTATTTAATAAAAAATCAAAAAATCAATATATGAACGTGAACATAAATATGTTCATTTGAAAAAAACACGAACGTTATTGTGTTCATTTGAAAAAAACACGAACGTAAACGTCACTCTTTATGTGCACGTTCCGAACACTGATATTCTATAACGAAGCAATACAATTTTTTTTATAAAAACTAAGAAGTTAAAATTAAAGATAAGTATTAAGTTCCTTCTAGACATAATAAAAACGTTTAATCTTTTTTGAAAAAAGAAACACAACATAATCTTAAATTCAAATCAAATTGCAAAAATTAACTSGTTAAAAAGTTATATGCGTTTTCATTTATCGAATACATTAAAATCATTTTTAAAGAAATTATGATACAAAAGTTCATTAAGAATCAAAACAATATAGATACAACAATAGTTTATTGTTTTATCAGATGGTAAAAGTTTGGGTCCTTGATATAAGATTAATCACTATTTTCGTTGAGAATAATAAGCTTTAAAACTATAAGCTTGTAGTAATCAAAACATTTCAAGAAATAAAAGTACTTATAGAGTTGTATGTAGTTAGTACATATTAGCAAATAGTAATAACTGGAGAAAATACAAACAAATAAAACTAAAAGTATGTTAGTCAAATTTTTATTGTATGTCAGTATATAACGTACAACATATTGTGTCCAACGTGATTTACAAATATAAAAATAAAAACTTGGCATATTTTTCAAAAAAAATACTGTCCCTGTAAGTCCTTACTTGACATTATAAAAAGCTGACTGGATAATGTTAAAACCATAAAAATAAATATATGTTATTAGAATGTATAGGTACTCGAAGATACAACCAACAAGAACACATAATATTTTATTTCAACCGTATTATCATAAATGAACATAATATAATATATTAAGGATCTTTAGACTATAATATCTTTTTTACAAATTATATTAAAAGATTTCAAAAAAAAAAAACAATTAAATTAAATATTATTTTATAAAATTTAAAAGTTCCAGTGAACCGATAAAATTGAAATTTTATTCGCCCGACATCGAAAAAATTTGGAAATACATTTAAATTGTATCGACAATAGTACTTGGATGACCTAAGCACTGTTGAAATTTATAATATTACGAATTCATTATTATTAACACAATCTCAAAGTACCGACCTTCCCTATCTAACCTTTTATATCTTTTCYGTTGTCTTCGATCAATGTCTAAATTTTATATAACTACACGATTAAATACAACGATTATAACATTATATGATAATTTAGACTGTTTACTCGAATGCAATCAAGTTTTATTTTCAGACGCCAACAAACAGTATTATCATGCTCAAAGCATTTTTAGCAATAATAGATTAAGTAACTTATAATATAGACACGACGAGAAAATCGAATCAATGAATAACATACTCTGAAGAGGAAATTGATATGAATTTTACAAATAGTATTATTATAAACGGTTAGAGCCGTACGGGATCTATTTTTTATACGTTAAAACAATGATTTAACTGTCATTAAAAACTTTTAAAAATGTTTGAATATTAAGTTCACAAACATAAAAAATATTTTCTATGCATTACACTACAAGCACGTGCTTACAGTGGACATTTTTTAAATATTTATCTACCTAGGTTACTRATATTAAAATGTGGCTTGGTGAGGCGCGGATGCGCGGTCGTACGCTCAATCTGCGGAAACGCACTGAGCGTACGTACCGGCCGCAGTTGATAGCTCCCGGATGGGTGACCACCCGGGATTTTTAGCAATATATCCTTGTCACACATACACAAACACGTGTTACAACCCTGCCCACTTAAAAACTTACAAACAAACATACAAAAATAACCCCTACCGTACCACCCCACACCCAATAGCCTATGTTGCCGCGGGTTCTCCTTACAAAAAAAAAAAAAAATTAAAATATTATAGTTGCTTATTGGTTGATTAAGTTTAACATAATATTGTAATAGCATAAATAAGTTTGTATTTAAAAGAAATGTTAAGTGAACAAAAAACTATTCCATATTGAATGTTGTTTTTTTTTTTTAAATAATAATAATAATATATTAGAAAAATCTTAAAAGAATGTTTCTGAAAAAGCGACAGTMTATTCAGTGCTTAYAGCAGCCACAACATTMAATTAATTTKAATACTCCGTGTTTATTGGGTAACCCGTTTATAAGACGAATAATCGGTTTAGAGAAGATATAATTTTAATTTTAATAGGTTATTTAATATTTTATATCAATGAGACTTCACCACAATATCATCGACAAYATRATAACATGGTTACATAGTTAGATGCATAAAAATAATGCTCTCTAATATACATAACACTCGTATACCTAAACAACATTATCCATTTAAATGGATTTAGTTAAGTACATAATTATTATATTATTACGAATGAACTAATCAAAGTGAATTCTGGTATAGAAAAGATGAAAATTCGTTCAAATCAGAAGGAAAATCTAAGTCAAATGGTTCCTGGATATTAATCTAGAATATTATAGAAGATTTTTTCCTCATTTTTTCACCATAATTTTATTTTATTTAAAAACAAATTAAAACCTTTGGCGTTTCGACAAATATTTGTATGGCTACCAAGATGAAATGCTGTAGTATACTAGTATAGTATATCAATAGAAACAAAAACAATATGACCTTCTCCGAAYTGATTTTATCGAAATAAACAACACTTTTAAAATAATTTGATTTTCCTGTTTGTTAAATGGAAAAGAGAAAATATTGTCTTGAGCGTGTGCATCAAATCGTAAAAAAAAACCCCCTATAAAAAACTCGACGGCTGCCGACAATAACGTCAAGGTGGTTCTGCGCGCGTAGTAACGAARTATTTATGTTTACCAAAATCAAATCACCAGTAAAACGCGTATGCATACAACTACGTTTTTCTCACTTACTTTTTGCATTGTTTTTTCGAGATTCAAATCCGATTCGAACTTAAACTTCGGTACGTCCAACTCGACATTGTGGACGGTCATGTTGCTCAG